GTTTCTGGGAAATGGCATGGAGGGCCATAGAATACACAGTTTTGGGCTATACCCATCCAGTGATGAATCGGTCCCAGCTGTTCTAACTAGGACACTCTCATACAATCTCCCTTCAGTCATTCATTGGTGGCCAGGTCAGTCACTCTTCACTCACGCATAGCTGGAATTTCTATTATACTTTTACATTTTAATTACACAGTTTACATTTTAAGTAGTTATTGGCTGTGTACTTCTCAGTTTGTCATCTTTGGCAGTCATGTCTAACAACTGTACCTGGCTTGAAAAGGAATACATACAAGGAATATAAGGCCTAACAAATTTAAATGAGTTGTATTCTGATTTATCATCTGTTGATGCACCTGCATAGTCTCTTTCCCCCCTTTTTATATTTTAAAATGTTCATTTGATGCGTAAAATGTTTTCTTGACAACAGTTTGTCCTATGAGTGAGTTAGGAATCTCCGCATATCTGTATCTTGCAGTAATTTGATTTTTCTACGCATCACAATAAAAACAATGTCATTTGAGTTAAAAGAATATAAGAAAGTAATGCCCGTACACCTTCAATTTCCAACCAAAATGTACCCAATTTGTTTCACAACCGAAGTTCCACTGTTATAACCATTATTTGTTATTGATGCTATTTCATTTTGGGTACTAACTGCCAGTTAAGTCAAAGTTAAGAAGACAGTAGTACATACAGAGCATTCTAAAGGAGATGATTAAGGAACATCAAGAGAAATTACACATCATGTGTTATATGTGCTACTTGATCTTATTTTTAGTTCCACTTGTCCTGTGGGCTTATTTGTGTAAGTGTTCAAGTCAGTTCACTGTGGAGACAACATAGTCTTGATACTCAGGCCACACAGCTGACTTAGTTATGCAAAAAAACCCCTTATTATTTGGCTGATAGACTTCTTCAATGAGTTTGCTGCAGGGAGACACAAATGTGATGTCAGGAAGGGGGAAAAGGAATGAAAGAAGGTTTAGTTTGCAATCACTGGACTACAGTAATCTGGATTAGGATTAAATTTTTTGAATTACTCTTAATTATTCTTTTAGTAAGCAGACATATAGAAGGGCAAAAAGGAAAAAAACCCAACAATTTAGACCTTTGAATTTAACTGCAACGAGTTAAAGAACTGTTTGAATAATAAAAATCTCAGGAGTTTTTAAACATCAGTAATTTAAGTATAAACGTAAGGTTTTGTCCCTTTACACAGACAACGAACAGTACTGCACTACTAGTATTACAACTGGTCCCTCTAAGTTAAAATAAAAGGTATAAGATAAAGCTTCTGTCTGTAGTTGAATATTATTGTATCACGTTCTTCACAAAGTTAAAAAGAGACAGTTATTTTAGTGAAAATTTCTGAAATTGCAATGCTCAAGTCATATGTATTCTGTTTTATGTAAAGTCAGTACTTAAAAGTCCTATTTTTCCTGAGATAGGTGGGACATGTTTGTAGCTTACTGAAATTTAATCTTTAA